GAAGATGGGGAGCAGACGACGGAGGCAGTTAAAGATATTCTGACCCCCACTATCTGGAAACATCTCCGATGCCGTACAGTTTGTCCTTTTGGTCGTTGCAGATTTGTTTGTGGTTTCTATTAATTGAACAAATACCCAAGTAACATATCATTTAAAGTACAAGATCCTTTCTTCTTGATGCACTAATTGAACTCTACGGTGGCAATAATGCCAATCAGTGTTAATTCCGGCTACATGGGCTATTATCATTTTAAGTTCACTTCTTTTAATAACCTGAAAATACGGAGAATTATCCTATCAATATAAAACGCACAGAGGTGTTCGTCACAAGAAGAGCCTAGATACGATTATTTTACAGAACAAGGCAAACTGGAATACTATGCGTTCTTCACTCCTCTGCGCTGCGGTGAAAACTCCGACCCGGTCAGCGCTCTGGTGAAGACATTGGGCACAGTGCCGACGTATGCTGCAACGAACTCATCACCATTTAACTACCAGGATAAATCAGATAACGTACTGTCTGCCTAAGGCTGGACGGGCCAGTCTGCGCGTGGCATTGGTTTCAACACTCTTTTCCGAATAAAGTTGATTATATGACTAGGATCAGCATAATGGTTATGCAAATTTTCGTATATATATAAATAATATCCGCTACTCAGGAAACCTACAACGTGATCTGCACCTGTCGCGAAATATCAGTGCCAAGGGATTTATGAGTCTTCTTTGAGCGAAGATGTGGGTTACTTTCGCACCTAGCAGATACCAACCAAAAGATGCTTCTTATTGGTAAACGAAACTTTCTCAGAATGGAAAAGTACAACTATTTCTCATACTTAAATCACTAAGGGCGATATTTTCTAAAAGGGCACATTGAAATTTCATAATTTTTGGAAAGAAAACTTGTACTTATAGAAAGAACATTTGTGCTTGTTACTCTGTTATCGATTAGAGTAAACCGCAGATCCGTCCGAAGTAGAATATTTGCTTCAAACGCAGAGAATAATTATAAAAAGGAATAATTGTGGCATCTATGAAACAATTACGTCCGCTTAGGACACGGGGTGATATTGCCGGAGCCGTCTTCTCATCTCTTTAGAAATCTGATGAAGCGATAGAAGTGATTTCCTCGAAAACAAACGTATGTTGGCCACTTTATTTTCTGAACATTTTAAATGGGGATGTTCGCAAAAGTATCATGAAAGCTATTAATTCTTCCAACGCGGATGTCACCTTTATCATCAGTTCAGCAGCCAATATCACATCTAGACCTTACTGTCACCTACCAATTCCCAAATTATGTCTTGTACTTGTTTGATAGCAAATAAGCCTTCTTTAATTTTTATACCCAAAGAAAGGGTAGCTTCGGTTTTAAAACAAAGTTGGTCAACTGCCGAATAATTGTCTAACCTAGAGACCGCTACACTCGAATTCAAGGTTTAAAAAATTGTGCACCGTGTACATCCTGTTTAAGGAAAAGCACGTACAAGTACAAGACATAATTTTTTCGTGCATGTTTTCCATAAAATGTATTTGAATTTATAAAGGCAGTCAAAACCAATGATAAAAAGACATACTAATCAAGTAGCCAGTTTTTACAATATATAATTTTTGCTGGTAGTCAGAACGGGGCTCGTTAAAAAGCCCGCATCTTATCACGACGGAATAAACTTCAGAATAGGCTACAAGATAATCAGTATGAAAACCTTAGTCAATACCGATTAGTGAAAGGGTATCAATCATTCGCCTATGTCGAAATGTTGCGTGATCCGTGGCGTCTACTGTATTATATCCACCCAACTACTTTCCAGTTTTCTACACCCCATCCGTCGATCCAGTAGGGATTTGATGATGGCGTTGAACTGCAGAGCGGTCCTCCGAAGGTCACCGCATACCATAACCACTTAAGTCGGTATACTAAGCAAAATTAGCCTTTTAAATTAACCACGAGAATAACCATTTACTTACACACTTTAGGTAGGGTGATTTCCACAATCTTCCCACTTTTCTACTTCATTAACCGTTTTTCTAGTTGGTGTTGGTGGTTCCACCAGAAGATGTACCTCAATGACCTTGCCCGAGGTTAGGGCACACTGCCCTTACATACAGATGTTCGCTGTTGGTCAGGCGGGGAGTTAACGATTATATTAAAGCCTATTTAAGTGTCGACTCCCGAGGTTTGAGTACGCGACCCAACTTATCCATATAACTTTTTTATTTTACACAAATATTGCGATATAATTTGTTCCCTGACGTGCCCGACCGTCCTATTCCTTAGAATCTGGTGCCCGTGAGCCTAAGGGGCGCGTTTCACACGTTCCCCAGGCGGCCCCGCAAGAGATCCCTACCAAATAAAGTCTTTCCGATAATTCTCAACTTCCGGAGACGTAAAAATAGCTTCAATTTAGAACACTAGACGTCGAATTCTTATTTACAAATGTACCGCTAGACGAGGCAATAGATATTATTTGTGCCCATGCGTCTGACACCCGTCTGCCGCCTGAAATACTGCGCCAATAGTTAGTACTCTGTACCAAAAATGTTCAATTTCTATTTAATGGTCAACTTTACAGACAATTGAACGGAGTCGCAATGGGCAGTCCACTAGGGCTCACATTCGCACATTCACAATGGAAACCGAGCAGCATAACAAACTATCCTTCCTAGGCGTCCTCATACTAAGAGAGGATGATGGTTTAATAACGCGCTCGGTTTGCCACGAAAATACGTGGAAAGGGCAGTACCTATATATTATGAGTATTGTGCCAATTCATTGGATGCGAAATCTGGTACATACTCTCTTTCAACGAGCAAGGAAAATTTGATCTAGTGAAACCCTACCCGCAGAGTTTTCCAACATTAAAAGAGCCCTACTTAACTGCGGCTATCCTGCACGCTTTATCCAGAATTACAGCAATTCTCTGGGGCTTAAATTGATGTAACATTCAGTTCCAAAAAGGTCCGTCATTATATCCTTACCCTTTAAGGGTGATGAAATTTCAAATACAATCAAGCGACGATTGCGCTGTACTATAGAAAGGACCTACAACGCGGCAAAACTCGTCTTCTTAATGGTTGCTGTTTTTCACCTCTGACGATGGACTCCTGCAGGAGCCCGAAAGCTCAGGACAAAATACAATTTGTTCCAGTGGTCGATCGTGTATCTTTACCAATAGAAATACCTGGAATTCGAACATTATCTTTCATTCGTCTTCTTAAGTCCGACCAAAAGCATTCCAGTAAAACGGATAAAGGATGCCTTGCCATTGCACACCACCTCAAATTGTGTGTACGAATTCACATTTACTTGCGGATGCAAGCACATTGGGCGCACACAAAGGCAACTGGCGGCCAGGGCTGCTTAATACTTGCCCAACTGGCTTTTCAAGCAAGAAGACAAAGCAGCACGGTCCTCTATTACTAAACATCTCTTAGACAGCGGTCATTCTGTCGACGTCAAAAGAGCATTTCGAGTACTTGTTCGGGCCCGAACAATTCGAACCTTGCGCTACTTGTAAGCTGCTTACGTACGACGAGAGAAACCTGACCTATGCAGGCAGCTTGACCACGTGGTCAACCTCCAATAACCCTGGTAATTGGTTACTTAGTTTCAATCCCTAAATGATTTTTGCTTACTTTCCCTCAATCCCCATCCCCCCTTCCTTCCTTCCCATACATAGATTAGTGCAGTGTCCTTTACCTGATCAATATTCAAACCGAACTATGACTCTTGCTGTTATGTCATCCATTCTGCGAAATTTCAAACGGTTGCATGTTCTTTTCGTTATCACCCTCATACAGCGACAAGATGCAGCTAGTAAGCCCTCACAAAATTTATTGACGCCAATAAATCCTGCCATATATGCGTATTTTAAATTTGTACCGGAGAAAAAATGCTTCAGATTTCTTAAATAGGCAGCTTGGTTCTGTATTTCGCAATAGCATAGGAAATTCCTTTGATATGAGACTACTCCCTATTTTGCCAAAATTAATGGCCATTTCTCTTAATAAACCTGACTTAAATGATGATTTTCCTTACTAAAATACATTCGCTGAATTAAATCCACTCAATGAATTAAAATAGCGTTACAAAGTATATGCTAAAGTACCAAGTCAAATTTCATAATGAAATTTGGACGGTCTTTAGCGAATACTGTATCTAGGGAAGAGTATAGAAAACTTTCAAATGGGAGGATTATTTTTGATCTGACTTTTTGCATAGTTGTCCATAAATACATCTTCAGTGAATGAATACTCTGGCTCCTGGCTCTCGCCATATGCCGCTTCTTTCCTTCGCGTGCGTAGTCTACCAATTTAGTTTAAACCGCTCTGCGTGGCTCATGTCTCTAAGTGGCAACCGCACGCCGCCCCAACCGCTTGATAACCGTCACCCGCACTCTGCTCTGTGTTGATACTGTCTGCAAATGGTGCGCCAGTGTTCATTTGGTCTTCTGCACGCTGGGAATTTATGTCTCATCGCCCCCCCGCGTCTCAGCATAGCCTGTCTCATTATCAGGGGACAGTCATCAAGCGGAACAATCAGAGCCGTCAACCAGCGAAACGGTCAACCTGCGTATCCATAAGACAGGCTAGGACGAAACGCGGGGGGAAGCGATGCGACACAAATGTCCAGCGTGCGGGGAGACCAAATGACCATTGACGCTCCATTTGCAGACAGTATCAACGCAGAGCAAAGTGCGGGGGACAGTTATCAGGCGGTGGGAGAGGGCCCACGGTTACCACGTAGAGACATGAGCCATGCGGAGCGGCTGAAACTGGATTGGTAGACTACGCACGCGGAATAGATGCGCGGCAAATAGCGAGAGACAGGAGCCACAGTATTAACTCTCTAAGGATGGATTGACAAGATATTTATCCGAACGGTCAAATAAAACATTAAACCTCTCACGGTTAACACCTTACCCACGATTAGTCTGTCCTTGACTCTGCTGTATTCTGTTATGCAAGCACTCGTATACCGAGAGTCACTAGCCTATAAAGGACTACACCTGGAGAATGAGAATTATGTAGGTAGTGGAGACCTGCATTTGGCCTAGTAGAATAAGGAGGCGAAGGAGGAGAAGAGTTGCACTGAGGATGATGAGGAGCTGAACTTGAAGGTAGTTAAAGAGATCATAGCCCGCGCGTTGGAAGGTCCGTAGGCAATGCAGGCCTCCGCGCCGTGATGCGATATTATTTGTACTAAAACAAAAACTTGCAAAGGGTTTTATACCCACCTTCCTTAACCGCAAAAAATACGCAATTAGGAGCTGGGTTTTAGAACCCAAGCAGTTCTTAGTAATGCATCAGGTGACGTCTGGGCGTACAATGCTACCGACCTGAGGTCTTTCCAGCTACATGGGATCCAATCAGTTTGATTCAATTTGACTTAATTAGCCAAAATCGTAGAGAAATAACATGCCAAATTAAACGCTTGAACAATGTTAATCACACGCAAGACAGACGTCTTACTTATTTCAGAATACTCTGCACGTTTGATATATCTCTAATAGGGAATTTGTGATCTTGCAAAACAACTCAAGAAGCTTAATTATAAAGATTAAATAAAAACTAATTCTTAAAGGAGCTTTTGTACAGGTTCTGAACAAACAGCGATAAAAAACGATGGTAACAGTCCAATAATAAGTGGATGCTTTAAATATATACTGATGAATATTCTACTATATGTATTTCAGTAGGCTTATTTTTGCATATTCATTGCAGACGGTTGCTCCTTCTCCAGTCGGTCTTGACAAACCTGCTACTACGTCCGCGACTCTTAGATCCTTAGAAAGAAGTTGCAGTTGCAGGTGCGAACCCACAACTGCACATTCCTAAGTTTGGAGAGTTAGATGTGATAGACGGGTTAGTTCAACTTACTTTTCTTCAGTGGACAATGTACATTCGGATTTTCGAAGATACCTCGAAAAACAATGGAGCCTACGT